AAGGTGCCAAGAACAAAAGCGATGTCGAGTTTGAGGAAAAACTTTGTGAATTACACTACACATAGCTTTATCTTGATCAGTGATGATTGTTAATGGTGCTATACCAGACATACATTTCAGCCATTGGCTAAATAACCATATAAAGGTCTCCTCCATTTCATCGGCCAATAGTACACATCCAAATAGAGTAGATTGTCGGTGATGGTTAACACCCGTAAATGGTGCAAACGACAATTTTAAATTGTTTGTTCTATATGTAACATCAAAACAAACAACGTCTCCAAATTGCAAGTAAAAAGTCCTCGCCCTACCATCCATCCAAAAAACACTTCTCATCATCCCATAATTTTGTAAATCTAGTGCAAAGTAAAATTGAGGATCAGATACTTTTTTCTCTTAAAATTGACGAACTATGTTCATGCACTCATGACCGACATTGTTTCTTCGTTTAATTCTTAGATGACCTTGGCATTCTTGTCGTGTGAGAGAGCCTTGTTCATTTCCATGAGCAACGTCTAAAACTTCTTAGATGACCTTGGCATTCTTGTCGTGTGAGAGAGCCTTGTTCATTTCCATGAGCAACGTCTAAAACCTTACAAATGGTAGAAGGCCGTAAACCTTGGCTGTCAAGAGTATCTATCAACCTTTTTGTCGCTTGAGATCGATGAAGTGTCCGATACGAGTAGTGCTTCTTTACCTGATTTGGGGTGGTTAGCATATGGCCATTATGATTAACATTTAAACTTCGCACCACCCATTTTTCAGTGCTTCTATCAAGTCCAATAACCATCCTTGCGTTGCATCCACATCTTGTATCGGACTTTCGAATTATATTCTGACCATCTTCTCTTTTATCTTTTAAAAATTTAAAGTCTTCTTTGTCACATACAAAGGTTTTAGATATGATTACATCTTTCTTTCTCAACCATGATGTATGACCCTTGCGAATACCAAATCCCTTAAGTTTGGCATATGCATTGTAAAAATTATAACCTTCCTCATGAGTAGAGAACTCCATTTCGATATATGGATCAACAACAAGATTACCTTCGCTATTTTCAGCACCAATAGGGCCATCAACATTCTCCTCATGCTCGGATGCCTACAAAAATAGAGAAACAAAAATTATGAAAAAAGACCCAATTCATGCTAAAAGACATATATTTTGGTATATGTCATTAGATAGCAGTACACTACAAATAATTGGGTATTATCACTTGAGAAAAAAACTTGCCGTAGATAGTTGATCATGATGCTCACCTTCAAGGTCAAGCCCTATATGTTTGTTTTCATCTTCATCCATTGTTATATCACGTGGGAGAATTGTTGGAGTGTCCATACAATCTATCAAATTATCACATATAAAAAGTTAAAAATCTTTAAAAAATTGTCATCACGTTGATCTTTCAAATTCACTAGAAAATTTTATTATCCAAACTCAAAAACTAAAATCAACGACAATGAATAGTAGCTTAAGGTGTACCAAATTCAAGATATAAGTTCGACTCTCAAATGAAATAAATATACAATAGTTCACACCAAATTTAAAGTTCATATTCAATTTAACAATAAACCTATCCCTAAATATAAACTAAAATATAATCCCCATTATTACACATGTTGCCATATTCATAATTTATATCCCAAAATCAACATGACTTACAAGATAAAAATTCACTAACTATCATTGAGGGCTTTGCGGAGACCTGAGGGCTTTGCTGCGGCGTAGAGGGGTTTTGGAGAGTGTGCGGCGACGTGGTCGAGGAGAGCTTGAGGGAGCGGCAACGAGGGCAGGTGAAGGCTAAACTCGAGGAAGAAGGCGAGGCGGGCAACCACTACTCGACGCGGGTGAAGGCTGAACTCAAGGCGACTACTCGACGCGGCTATCAGGGAACACGACATAGAGGGGCTGTCAAAAATGTAGAAGTCTAATTAAAGAAAAGTGTAGAAGACTATGTTTCCTATGTCGAAGAAAATTTTACTAAAATTAAAGAAAGTGTAGAAGTCTAATTAAATAAAAGTGTATAAAATTATGATTCCTATGTCGTAGAAAATTTTACGACTACTTTCACAAATTTTAAATTTTGTGTGTCTAATGCAATTCTACCTTATCCAGATCTCAGTGTCTAATGCCAAAAATCTCACTAAAGGAGGACTAAAATTATACTACCACATCTTACCTCAACATCTAACAATGGGAAGATAGCAAGGATCGTTGGCCGGAGCGGATGTCGAAGAAGTCCTTTTTTTTTTTGGAAAAGGTAGGCGGAGAAGTTCCAACTTGATATGAGATAGAGGCATCAAAGAAATCTTTTTTTGTTGGAAAGGCAGGCGGAGATAGAGGCGATGCACGATCGGGGGTTGGGAATTTTTTAGCACGATCGGGGTTGGGAATTTTTGAGCGGAGGGTAGGTTAGGGAATAGCGTGGGGAGTTACAAATTAAACGAGGGTTGAGAAATTACCTACGCTAATGTTGAATGGACGGCCAGATACGCTCCTTAGATATCAGCCCTATGGTGGCACTTTAAGGTATCACATTTTCCCATATATATATATATATATATATATATATATATATATATATATATATATATAATATAGTTATGTTATATAATAATATATATATAGTATATATAATTATAATATGTTATTCTCCACAATAAATGAGACTGTGATTCAAAAGAAGCTATGCAGAGCAATCTTTATAATATATATATAATATAATATATATATATATTGATATATATATATAATTATAGTATATATATATATATATATTATCATCCACAAATAAATGAAACGTGTGATCAAAGAGCTATGCACGAGCATTTCTTTTATAATAATCCCTCGTTGGAGTTCGAGAAAAACTTTCTATGGTCAATATCACCCTTCACTATTTTGAATATTTTTATTTAAAATCTTAATATATCCTAATCATAATTATATCCTATCCTAATCTAATGTGCACTACCTACAGCTCAACAATTAAAAAAAAATAAGGTTAACAAAATACTTAAAACATCTGTATTATAGTAATTTGTTAAGGTAAAGAACTAACATGCTATATTATATGAAGTATTACAAAATAATCCAAATTTATTTTAAAAGTGAACAAAATATTAAAAATTTAAAATTTCACAAAACATCCTGGCATTTTATAACTTAAAACAATAAACATGAAGCCTTTAAAAAATTTAAAATCTGCAAATAACACCTTCTGTGAGACCCCAACTTTAGTCCCACATCGGGTGTTTAGAGTGAAATTGTGTGGCTTAAATAGGTAAGCCCAGGAGTCTAAGTGAAAATCACAAAAATTTTAAAATTTGTAAAAAGTAACCTTAAAGTTATAAAAATTGTAAAAGCTCATTCAAAAGGTGAAAATCACAAAAAATCCTGAAATTTTAAAACTTATAACCAATACATATCAAATCTAAAAACTATCACCAGACTGCTAAAAATTTAAATTTTACAAAAAACAATCAAAAGTTTTAATAATTGTAAAAAAACACCAACATAAAAATTACAAGCACCCAACTTAAAATTTAAAATTTTTATAAAATACTCTCAAAGTTTTAAAATTTATGAAACACACCCTCAAAATTTTAAAATCACAAAAAAGACTAAAATTTTAAAACTTAGCAAAGAAAAAAAATAGTTGTTTGATATTTTTTCATTAAGATATGTAAATTTAACTTCTAATTTAAGATTTACTATCACTTTCAGCATCTAAATGCAGACTAATTTCATCAAAAAAGATAAAGGTGGAGAAGCATCGTTGTCGACTCAATAAAAAATAAAACGGAAGGAATGAAAGACACTGATTTCTGAATATTTTATAGAATAGTTTATTTTTTTGAGTAAATTAGGAATCTTTAGAAGAGATTTTCATGAACTTTTTAAGTACTTTTATATGCTTATGTGGATGCTTTTATCATTTAAAAGTGTACATTTATGATTTTTAAAGTAAATTAGGAATACTTTTATATGCTTATGTGGATTTTTCATGAGCTTTTCGAGTTATAGCATTAATCTTTAATTTATGATTTTTTAAAGCCTATCAAAGATTAGGAACAAACTACAGATTCTCTTTTGTGTTGTTTTAACACACTTTTAACCAATCATCTTGTCTTATTGGATTTAATTATTCATTTTCTTTTTGTAACGTTATTTTTTCAAGTGTTTTTCACTTTTGCAATACTATACGTTCTCAGGTCACGCTTTGTTTCTTGGCGGTTCAAAAAACATGATTATTAAATTGGCTTCGGATTACATTTATTTCCAATCAATTCAATTTTCAATATGAAAATTTAAATAGGGTGTAGCTCACTTAAATGTATATTAAAGAAAATAAATAACCACAATGCTAAAATTTAGAGATATAAGCGAGCAAAGACAATTAAAGTGAACCATAGGAACAAATTTTAGTAAGGAAATAAACAAAAAAAATACTTAATCATGACATTTAACTACGTGCATTGCACGTGCACAGAACCTAGTTACTGTAAATGGGGCTGAATTACGCTCTAACAAGCAATTTAAGCTCCAACAAACTGAATTAACAGTCTGCAAACACAGTTATCTAGCTTCATATAAGCAAATGTAAAATAGTTATATATTACCGTAAACCTAATTTAGCTGGATATATAACATAGTAATCAAGCTTCATGTAAGAGATAATAATTATATTTATCTTTCAAGTTTGGTAACATAGCAATATAGCAATTTACCGCTTTGTGTACCTAATATTCTCAGTGACCTGATAGGTATGAAGCAGTCTCAAGAAATGGCCTTTAAAAAAAAAGAGGAGAGAGAGAGAGAGAGAGAGAGAGAGAGAGTAGAGTTGTTTGCATACGTACACGGTACACCTGATACTCATCATCTGCAGTTGCAATTATAACCCCCAAAATCTTGTTATTTGCAAATGTAACCCCCGAAAGAACCATTGCACGCGCAGCGCGTGTGCCTGGATCCTGCTGCTTTTATCTCGCGACTACGAACTTATCCTCCACAAAAAAAACCCGCCACATCCACGGCAAAATGGCAATGGCAGCAGCTGCTGCTTCTCCTTCGCTACTTCTCCTCCCCTCCTCAAAAACCCTAAACCTAACCCTAAATTTCTCAACTCCAAGATCTCCCCTTTACTCACGCAGTAACAGGACAGCGTCGTTCAAATCTAGGGTTTTGCCCCGCAAATCCAGGACCTCCACCTCCTCATCGGCCGGCGTTGCGGCCACCGATTCTGCTATCGAGACCGAGAAAAGTGACCCTAAGGTGGACAGGCCCGAGGAGGAGAGGGTTGTGCTCCCTACCAATGATTCGTCTGAGAAATTGCTCAGAATTCGGCACACGGTATTCTCTCTTATGCTCGTTTTTGGGGAAAAAAAGTTCTTATCTTTTTGTCGGGAAATTGAATTATCAATATGTAGTGTTATCGGGAAAAAAATTCTTATCTTTTGCTCGCTCTTGGAAATTTCTGTTGGGAAGAAATATTTGGAGGTGATGGAGAAAGTGTTCAAGAATTCGGGAAACAATAGAAAATTTAGGAAGAAGAATATTTTTATTTCTTTTGAACACCTTAGAACAACTTGGAACTTCTTGATTACAAATGAGAGGGAAGGGGAGGTATTTATAGCCTCCAAAGTACAAAATATCTAGAATATTTTAATCCTAAATCTAGAGAGTTCTAGCATAATATCTAGAATTTTATATTATAATTATCTAGAGAAATATCTAGATATTCATTCTCTATAAATTTTTAGAACATTTTAAGGAGGTGGAGATGTTTAGATATTTCTAGAGAAAAATCTAGAACTTGGATCAAGTATTGGGTTTTGGCCCAACAAGTGATAATTGGATCATTGATCTAATAATTAAACTTGATCCAAAATCAAGTTTACTTTTCAACACCCCCTCTTAAACTTGATTTTGCTACTCCAAGCAAACTCCTCATCTTGATAAAATCTTCGCGCTTGAGAGGCTTGGTGAAGATATCAGCTACTTGATCATTCGTCTTCACGTACTCCAATTGAACGTCCCTCTTGGTAACACACTCTCTAATGTAGTGATAACGAGTGTCAATGTGCTTACTTCGATCATGGAAGACTGGGTTCTTCGCCAAAGCTATTGCTGACTTATTATCCATTAAGATCTTCGTTGGCTCCTTTTGTGGCAAACTCAACTCCTTTAACAGGTTCCGTAACCAAACAACATGGCAAACACATGAAGTAGCCGCTACATACTCCGCTTCACAAGTAGAAAGGGTGACAATTTGTTGCTTCTTTGACATCCATGTGAAAGCTGTATCTCCAATGAAGAACACGAATCCGCTTGTGTTTTTTCGGTCATCTACGTCTCCACCCCAGTCGCTATCGCTAAATCCAACAAGCTTGTAATCGTCAGAAACAGAGTAATACAAGCCAAAGTTTATGGTACCTTTGATATAGCGAAGTATCCTTTTAGCTGCCTTGAAATGAGTTGTTGGATGCTCCTTGTATCGGTTCATAACTCCGACTGCATATAGGATGTCAGGTCTTGTGCACGTTAAGTAGCGTAGGCTTCCAACCAAGCTCTTAAATAGTGTTGGATCTACACTCCTTCTTGCTTTGACTATTTGGCTCCACATTCCATTGGCGTGCTTACTGGATTCGAGTCATCCATCTTGAACTTCTTAAGAACCTCTTTAGCATAGCCTTCTTGAGTAATAAAAATTCCATTATCTTCTTGTCTCACTTCAATTCCAATGTAGTAAGACATCAATCCAATATCGGTTATCTCGAACTCCTTCGTCATCTCCATCTTAAATTCCTCGAACATATTTGGATTGTTGCATGTGAATATCAAGTCATCTACATACAAGCATGCAACTAATATATCATTGTTTTGAGTTTTGATATAGAGTGCATGCTCATATGGACACTTGATGAAACTTTTCTCCTTGAAGTACTTATCAATTCGAGTATTCCAAGCTCTTGGTGCTTGTTTTAACCCATAAAGCGCATTCTTTAACCTCAAGACTTTGTCTTCTTCTCCCTTGATTATGTAGCCTTGTGGTTGCTCAATGTAAACTTCTTCAAGATCTCCATTTAAGAAGGCTAATTTGACATCCATTTGATGTATCCTCTAATTGTTTTGAGCTGTCAATGAAATGATTAATCTAACAGTTTCTAGACGAGCAACAGGAGCGAATACCTCGTCATAGTCGATTCCCGCTCTTTGACTATAACCTTTTGCCACCAATCTTGCCTTGTATCTTTCAACTTCTCATTTAGAGTTCTGCTTTGCTTTGTACATCCACTTCACACCGATCGCCTTATGCCCATTTGGAAGTGAAGCTAACTCCCATGTCTCATTCTTTTGTATCGCCTTGATCTCTTCATCCATTGCATTTCTCCATGTCTTCTTCATAGCTTCTTCGAAATTCATGGGTTCGCAATCCGCAAATAGACAAAATAAAGTAAGATTGTCTTGATTTTTAGTTACCTCGTAAAGTTCTTGCAGACTTCTGAAACGTGGAATCCTTTCGCTCGAACTTTCATCTTCTTGAGAACTCGTTGTTGGTGAAGTTGGTGGGGGTAACAGGCTCCTCTCTCGGTTTCTCTAATTCATCTTCTTCAACATGTGGAAAGAAGTTGTAGTCTTCATCATTTGATCTCCAATCCCATTCTCCTTCTTCATCAAAGATGACATTTCGACTGATGATTGTCTTCTTTGTATCAGGATTGTAGAGCTTGTAGCCTTTGGAGTTGGCATCGTAACCAATGAAGATGTACTTCTCACTTTTGTCATCTAGTTTGCTCCGCTTCTCGTCCGGTACATGAGTGTGAGCAAGGCTTCCAAAGACTCTTAGATGAGAAACACCGGGCTTCCTTCCGCTCCAAGCTTCTTGTGGTGTTTTTCTCGAAACACTTCTTGTTGGAGATCGATTTGATAGATAAACCGCGCATGCAACTACTTCTGCCCACAACTCTTTTGGTAATTTCTTACTTTTGAGCATGCTCCTCGCCATTTCAAGGATTGTCCGGTTCTTCCTTTCCGCAACTCCATTTTGTTGAGGGGACCTCGGCACCGTCAATTGTCTTCGAATACCGTTATCTTCACAATACTTCTCAAATTCCTTGGATGTGAATTCTACTCCACGGTCGGATCTCATGGCTTTGATCACAAGGCCACTTTCCTTCTTGACATGGGTTTTGAACTTTTTGAAGTTTTCAAACACTTCTGATTTTTCCTTCAAAAAGTAAACCCATGTTTTTCTTGAAAAATCATCAATAAAGAGAAGAAAGTAGTTACTTTTACCGAGTGATCTTGGTTTGATCGGGCCACATACATCTGTATGTATGAGTTCCAATGGCTTCCGTGCTCTTGTGTCTGACTCCTTTGGAAAGCTCATTTTGAATTGCTTTCCAAGTAGACACCCTTCACACACTTGATTTGGATGGTTGATGCAAGGCAATCCTCTCACCATCTCTTTTTTAGAAAGTAGTTCTAATCCTCCAAAGTTGAGATGCCCGAATCGAAGATGCCAAAGCCAGGACGACTCCTTGTAGCACATCTTGAGACATTGTGCGATGTCATTTTGAATGTTAAGAACAAACATTTTATTCTTTGACATCGGCACCTTGGTAATGAGATTGTTTTCTTGGTCTCTTATAGAAAGGTTATTATCCTTTAATTGAATATCATAACCTTTCTCTAAGAGTTGTCCAAGGCTCAATATATTGGTCTTCATGCTTGGGAAATAGTAAACATTGGAAATAAATTAATGATCTCCATTCTTTAATCGGATGAGAATATTTCCTTTACCTTTCACCTCCATCTTCGATTCATCTCCCAAAGCCACATTTCCTTTCACCGATTCATCAAGCTCCACGAACATGCTTCTTTTCCCGCACATGTGATTGCTTGCACTGCTATCGAGGTACCACTTGTGAACCTCATCTTGTTCATCTTTCTTGTAAGCCATCAATAGCATATCATCTTCTTGGCTTTTTTCTTCAACATAATTGGACTTCTCTTCAACTCTATTATTGTTCGGAGCTTTGCATTCGGAAGCATAGTGTCCAAACTTTCCACAATTATAGCATTTAACGCTTGACTTATCGTACCTTGGTTTTTGATTTCCTCTCCCACGACCTCTTGATGAGCTTTCTCCTCTTTGGTTGGTGTTGTCATCATGAGGCCTCCAACCTCGTCCATTTCCATATCCACGACCTCGTCCTCGGACTTGACCGTCACCTTGTCTTTGATAACTTCGTCCGCTTTCTTCTTTAGTTTGATCAATCCGCATCTTGAGTACTTGTTCTGCAATATCTTCCTTCTTCTTCTTCTTTTCTTCATAAGCTTGTAACGACTCAAGAAGTTGCTCCATCGTCATAGCCTCCAAATCCTTTGTTTTTTCAATGACAGTGACAATATGCTCGAATTTTGGATCCAACGATCTAAGAACCTTCTCCATGATTCTCACCTATGCTCGAATTTTGGATCCAACGATCTAAGAACCTTCTCCATGATTCTCACCTCATCTAACTTCTCGCCATTTCTCTTTAGGTTATTAGTAAATCTAACTTCTCGCCATTTCTCTTTAGGTTATTAGTAACCGTTAAAACTCTTGAGAAGTAATCGGAGACAAGTTCACCTTCCTTCATTTGCAACGCTTCAAATTTTCCTCTTAGAGTTTGAAGACGTACCTTCTTGACTTGATCTGCTCCCTTGTAAGAAGTTCGAAGCTTCTCCCATGCTTCTTTGGCTGTCTTTGCTCCCGCGACCTTCTCGAATGTATCTTCATCTAGACCTTGATAGATTAGACAGAGAGCCTTCTTGTCTCTCTTCCTTGAGTCTCTCAAACTATCATTTTGAGTTTGAGATAGACTACCATCATTCTCCGGTTCAATGAAGCCTTTTTTGACTATCTCCCACACGTCATGTGCTCCTAGGATAGCCGTCATTCTTAGACTCTAATTGTCGTAGTTGCTCTTTATGAGCATCGGGATTTAAAAGGGAACACCGTTAATCGCCATCTTCAAGGGAATCTTCTAGCTCTGATACCACTTTGTTGGGAAGAAATATTTGGAGGTAATGGAGAAAGTGTTTAAGAATTCGGGAGACCATAGAATATTTAGGAAGAAGAAGATTTTTATTTCTTTTGAACACCTTAGAACAACTTGGAACTTCTTGATTACAAATGAGAGGGAAGGGGAGGTATTTATAGCCTCCAAAGTACAAAATATCTAGAATATTTTAATCCTAAATCTAGAGAGTTCTAGCATAATATCTAGAATTTTATATTACAATTATCTAGAGGAATATCTAGATATTCATTCTCTATAATTTTCTAGAACATTTTAAGGAGGTGGAGATGTTTAGATATTTCTAGAGAAAACTCTAGAACTTGGATCAAGTATTGGGTTTTGGCCCAACAAGTGATAATTGGATCATTGATCCAATAATTAAAACTTGATCCAAAATCAAGTTTACTTTTCAACAATTTCTTCAGGTCCAAAATAGGAAATTGTATTCTTCGATTGAGAAGCTCGCATTGAGAGTAGTAGTAAAAAGAATTGTAATTTTTAGTGAATTGCACAATGTATTTGGATCATCTTTTAGGTATGATGCCTAAAGGCAAAAAGCCAGCAATTTCCCTAAGAAACAATTTGATCTTATTTCTAATGATGAGCTTCTTGATGTAATTGTTGGCTGATCACCCGCATAGTTATGGTTTTAATGGAGAGCCATTATCAAAATCTCATATTGGTTGAAGAGAACCGAAATGGAATGAAAGTAAGTCCGATATTTGAAATCAGATGTCGTGAAAAGGATGTTG